CTGAGACTGAAGATTTCAAAGCTGGCCACAATGTTTCTGGGTCGTCTGTGGGCTCCTGTCTGTGAGATCCAGCATCTTACACTTCACGCCCCAAGTCTCAGGGGAAAAGGGCGGAAAGAGATGCCTCTCTTAGGGAAACCAGGGAGAGAGGGGTGAAGATGGTCCCATCACCAAGTGTGCTGCGTGTCCAGCTATCCACATATGTCGCCTCTAATTACCCCCAACTAAATAGGAATTATTGCTTCTGTTCCACAGAAGATAAAACTAAGGACCAAAGAGGCTCCCAAAAGTCCCACAGCCCCCCAGAGGGTGCGGCCGGGTGGGAATTTAAACTGGTCTTTCTGTCTCCAGGGCTGGAGCCAGGCTCTGAAGCTGCTTTGCCCCCTCCAACCTTATTGTTCCTTCTGGGAGTCGGTCTCCCTCCCAGCATGCTGATCTCTCTCCTCCTTTCAGGAGGCCAATCCTACCAGCCCCCTACACACGGCGGATCGGTCCCGCCAGCCCCCTGCACACGGCGGATCGGTCCCGCCAGCCCCCTGTACACGGCGGACTCGGTCCCGCCAGACCCCTGCACACAGACTCTCCAGGAATGCCTTTCCCAGGCCCAGATGCTTGATTTCATCCACGTGGCCCTCAGCGGAGGCTGCGTTCCTGCTCAGCGCTCTGCCTTTTGGCTGCAGGGCAGCCTGGCGAGGGTGGTGTGCACCAACCACTTCCCTGCCCCTCAGCAGCCGACAGTGGCATTTGGGGATCTTGTTTCTGGGGAGCCTGTGGCAATGCATCTCTCCTGTTTCAGGGACACACCAGCTGTCTTCCTCTGCTGCGCCTGGGGCAGGTCACACCGCCCAGGGGGTCCGCCTGGCAGTGGCAAGTCTGTGTGCTCTGCCAGCCCAGGGTGTCTGATGTCCAGGAGAGGATTTGGGAGGAGTCTTTTGTTAGCAAAAGGTCACAGGGACGCTCATCTTTGCAGTGCACCAAGAAGACAAAGGCTGTCCTCAGCGTCCGGAGGATCCGTTTAATTCATGCCCACAGCAGGGATGGAGCCTTCTGAAAAATGCAAACTCACGGCTCTAGACTGCTGGCTGAAGATCACGGGACGAGGAGGCAGGGAGAATTTACTGAGATGCCAGGCATTTTCTAGACTCCCTGCTCTGCAGTGCTGGGGGGCGACGCAGGATTCTCCTGCTCTGCTGGCAGGGGTGGCCTGGCCGTACGTGCCAGGAGCCCGGCAGCCTGCTCCGTCTGCCTGCTCACTTGCTACGGGGCGTCCCGGGCCTCCCTGCTCCTGCTAACACGCTGTCGGTGGTCACAGCCTCCTCTGGCCTGGATTCACTTTCCTCCATGCCCAGCTGTCCAGGGGGTTCCTACGCACCCTCCCTGGCTCGGGTCCAGGCCAGAGACCCCAGGGAAGTCTCCAAGGTGGCCCTGCTTTCCCTACTCCTTCAGAACTGCTCCCCCCCACCTGCAGGCCCCAGGCATCTTCTCCCATGGAGGCTCCTGCTCTGCTTCACACCCACCCCGGCTCCCACGTGCAAGCCCAGGGAAGAATCTGCCTCGGGATCAAACCGAATCCACTGCCCATGTGTGGCATGGAGGCCCATGTGCCTGTCCCTCTGACGGGCGCTTCCAAAGGGCCCACTGAGAAGGAGCAGAGTCCCTGCCCAGGGCCCCAAGCGTTCACTGAGGGAAGATGCCCCCGAGGCATCAGGCATCAAGGCAGCAGGCAGACCCACTCCCTTGGACAGCTGCATGGACACCAGGGCAGGGGGTGACCAGGGCCTCGAGGTCTGGAGCAGGGAAAGCTTCATGGAGGAGGGGGTGTTTGGACATACCTTGGTGAATGGGAAGGAGTTGATGGGAGATGGGTAGAGGGAAGGCAGGAAGGAAGGAGAGGTGGAGGGCATGATGGTGGGAACGGCTAGGCATTCATGCTGACAGCTGGAGGGGGAAGGAGAAACGCGGCTTTAGAATTGGGCGAGGGGCACCCTGACCCCACTCATCCCCCAGATGGCCACCCCTCTGGGGCTTCTGAGTCCAAGGGAATGCATCTGTTTAATATTAATAGACATTTTCCATTTACTTCCAAAGAAAGGCTGCAAATCTAATTGTCACCATCAATGTCAGGAGCTCTTGTTGCCTTGTATTTCCCCTGACAATTATTTTAAGCATTGCCAATCAAATATGTGAAAGACAGCAAGTCAATCAGACACATAATTATTCATAAAAATGAGTTTGAACTTCTATCAACAGTTCCTCTTCTTTAAATTGCCTATTTACACCCTTCATTAATTTTGCATTTTGCTGTTAGAACGTGTCCTGTTTGTTTCTGTGCACGCCTTGCCCATGGTGAACATTTGACTTTGGGGTTTCTGAACTTGCTCCCAGGCCCTTCCTTCAGCGAGAGCCAGACCAGCCTCACTTTCAACACCTGTGAAGTTGTGGGGTGCCCGGACCTCGATCGCCTGTCTACTGCCTGTGATGACTGTATTCCTTGGGGTGTGTGTGACGTTCACACACATCACTGCTGAGGCGTCGGTGCCTTGATGTCTGTGATGCAGATTTCGGAGAGCCTGGGCCAGCATTTCTTGGAAGAGTCGGCATCTGTGAAGATCACAGTTACAAACACACTGGAGAGGTCTCTTCTCAGCTGGCTTCAGAGTTTTCGTCTTCTCGTGCCATTAGTAACCGACAGAATAAGCATATTACACTAGCAAAATGTGGCTTTTAGGATGACTGGATATAAAATAACAAAAAAAAAAAACCCACATTTTTTTCTACACTAGCAGCAAACAGACATGGAACTGGATAATAATCTCCCATTCAAAAATGGCAGCGTAAGCTGTACACACTGCAGAGAACTAAATGAAAAAGGCACAGATCTCATAAGAAGAAAAATCTAAAATGGTGCCGATAGCCTCAGAGAAAGACCTGAATGAATAGAAAGAAACTTGGGATTACTAGGAAAATCTGACACTATAAAAATATGATTTCTTCTTCAGTATTTTATTTTATTTTTGTTTTTATTTATTTATTTATTTTTGAGACGGAGTCTTGCTCTGTCGCCCGGGCTGGAGTGCAGTGGCCGGATCTCAGCTCACTGCAAGCTCCACCTCTCGGGTTCACGCCATGCTCCTGCCTCAGCCTCCTGAGTAGCTGGGACTACAGGCGCCCACCACGTCGCCCGGCTAGTTTTTTGTATTTTTTAGTAGAGGCGGGGTTTCACCGTGTTAGACAGGATGGTCTCCATCTCCTGACCTCGTGATCCGCCCGTCTCGGCTTCCCAAAGTGCTGGGATTACAGGCTTGAGCCACCGCGCCCAGCCAGTATTTTATTAATTAATCTAACTATGAAAAGAAAACAATCCCAAATAGAATCGGAGTTTTCTTTGATATGGCACAGATAATGTTAAAATTCACCTAAAGGAACAGCCAGCTCTCTCTTTATCTGAGAATATTTTTTTAAAGAGCTAACAATGAGGGGTCACTCACCTTGTCAGATAAAAAGCTCGATACAGAGCAGCTTTGGCTCAGGGATCAATGACTAGATGAGTGGAACAAGTCACAGCAATATCTAGCTGGGTGTGGTGACTCACACCTGTGATCCCAGCATTTTGGGAGGCCAAGGCAGGAGGATTGCTTAAGCCCAGGAGTTTCAGACCAGCCTGGGCAACATGGAGAAATCCCATCTCCACAAAAAAATTAAATCATCTGGGTGTGGTGGTGTGCACCTGTAGTCCCAGCTATTCAGGAGGCTGAGCTGAGAGGATCTCTGGAGCCTGGGAGGTCCAGGCTCCAGTGAGCCATCACTGCCCCATTCTGCTCCAGCCTGAGCAACAAAGCAAGACCTTGTCTAAAAGAAAATCTAGGTCCATTTTGTTATGGAAACTCGGCTAATTGTGGTTTCTTAATCTTATGGAGAAAGGATAATTTATTTTATTGGTATTAACATAACTGACCACTTGGAATTAAAAACATTTCTTCCTCATACCTGATTATAATGAGTTCAACACTGATCACCTATCTGTAAAAGTAAAATATTTAAATGTTTTAGAAGAAAATGTAGACGGAGCTCAGCCTTGGTAACTTGGTGAAATCCTGTCTCCACAAAGAAACAAACAAAAATAAAGAATTCGCTGGGCACAGTAGTGCATGTCTATGTTCCCAGCTACACAGAAGGCTGAGGCAGGAAGATCCCTTGAACCCAGGAGTTCCCGGCTAAAGTGAGTATGATCACACCACTGCTCCCCAGCCTGGTAACAGAGCAAGACTCACAAGACTCTGTCTCAAAAAAAAGAAAAGAAAAGAAAAGAAAATTTAGAATAACATTTGTCTAGCTTTTGAGCAAGGAATTTTCTTATAACAGAAAATCAAGAAGCCATATTTGAGAATATAGATACATTTGACTACACAAAGCTTTAAAAAAGAGTGGATGTCAAAAATTCTATAGGCATTCTAAAACATAGCATACATCTGTAATATATATTCTTATAACCACGAAAAGTTAGTCTTCATAATGGACAAGGCATTTCCACCATTGAACACGAAACATCCTAACGCCAAAATATAAAATTAATAAAGGGTTTGAATAGGCAATTTAAAGAAGAGGAAATGTTAATATATATTCAAACTCATGTTACTTTTATTAATAATTATATTACAGATGGCCTTACTATCTTTCATCCATTTGGCTGGCAACACAAAGAATTGTCAGAAGGTGGCCACAGGGTGACAGGCGCTCCTGACTTGGTGAAACTTAGAGTTGCAGCAGTTTTCTTTGGAAGTCGTCTGGCAGTCCCTATGGAAAATGCACTTTAGTCATAATTCTTGCATTTCAAAGTTGCTCCTTTCTACACAAGAGCCCGCAGTGAGGATGTCTGCATGCGTTTCTGGACAGTCTCTGCCTTGTCCAGTGCAGGAGCCACGAGCCGTGTGGTTACTGAACACCCGACATGTGGCTAGTGCAGAGTTTTTATTTCCCTTCATTTCAATTATTTTAAACAGCCACATGTCATGCATGACCACCGCATGGGACAGTGCAGCTCTGAGCAGTCGTGAAGCCAATGACCTGGATCTCAGCTAATGCTGCAGAAGGAGAATAAGAAAAAGAAAAAGAAAAGAAAGAACACAGGTTCCTCCACCATTGCCAGCTGGCTGAGCTTCAATCTTAATGGACCAAGTGCGTATTGAGTAACATGTCTGGAAACATAAGGCGTGTGCTCTCAGGGAGCTTACACTCTAGCAGGGAGGACCCAGGTGTGAAAATGGAAGGTCTCACAAACAGGATGCAGTGAGCCAGGTGCCTGCCCACCAGACAGCCCGGTCACACAGGGTCTTGCGAGGAGACCCCACACCACATGCGCTTGATGCTTCCCTTCTCACACCTGCTCTGTCCTCCGTGAAGTTCTAGATCTGCACCTTCCGGGGCGGAGAACGGTGACTTCCCCTGAACGCTGCTCTGACCACCACAAGCCCTGCCTTGATGGGTCCCAACCCAGGCAGTGCTGGGACACAGAGTCCATCCAGCCGTGAGCAGACCCAGCACTGACCGGGGGAGCTGATGCTGCTTTCGAGAAATTTGCTTCCCTGACAGTGTGGCCTTGTTCACTCTGACTGTGCTGGCTCTGTCCCTCTGGGCTCCTCCCGACAGGGTGAGGACACAAAAGGTAGGGCGAGGGTGGGCAGCAGGGTGAGGATATGTGAGGTAGGGCGAGGGTAGACACACCCTTCCTGCTCCTGCTCGGCAGCGTCCAGACCACAAAGGTCTCCCTCCCTTCCTCCCTCTGCCCTCCCTCCTTCCTTCTGTACCTCTATGAATTGAGGGGAAGGAGACTGTGGCACAGCACTGGATTCGACTCTGGGCCCCATGACCCACCAAGGGTTCTGCCAACTCGGGCAATAGGAAAGCTATTGATTCATTTCTGCTTCTGTAAAACAGGAGAGGACCTGTCTTATAGGGTGACCAGGAGGTTTAAATAGTAGAAGAAATGGAAACCACGCAGAACAGGGCCAGCGACAGCAGGTGCTGTGTCACTATCAGCGGCTGTCAGGATGACGTCTCCACGTCTCTGGTTCTTCATCTAGAACATGGGATCTTACGGGGGGTTGCTCTGCATGTTACAGGAGGGTGTGCGTTGGTGGCTGCGGCAGGATCGTGGTCAATACGCGTGCTCTCGTCACCCTCGGAGCCATCTTGCCTTCGTGGTCTGCGTCTTCCACCCACCACACAGTGCAGCGGAAGCAAGGGGAGCCCTGGACGGATGGTGGAGGTGCTGGTGTGCAGCCACTGTTCCAGGACATGGGCCACTGGAGTGCCAGGGAAGAGGAAGAGGAGACACCCGCCAGGACAGTGAAGGGACAGTGAGTAGGGAGGAGCAGTCCTGAGGAAGCAAGGGGGCAAGAGTGCAGCAGCCAGTGAGGTCAGGGGATGCAGGGGATGGGAGACGGGGCCTGGAGCGTGGCTCTCTGTCGCCCGGGATGGTCAGTGGCTGGAGAGTTTTACTGGCAATGTGGATGCCGAGACCGGGCTGTGAGGGCTGCAGAGGAGTGGAAGCAAGAAGCACAGGATGGCTTTCCAGGCACTGGGGAATTGGGGAAGGGAGGAGGACAGAGGGAGGCAGATGGCAGAGTGTCTGTCGCCTAAAGAGGGGTGCAGAGAAGGAGAGCGGTGCGGTCTTACTCTGATTTGGTTTTGAGGTTTTCACATTGATGTCTCTCAAAACGGGAAGAGCTTTGCGGCAGGACATTTGATTGACATTCAGAGGCGGAGCCCATAGAGCCTGGGGGCTCAGACGCAAATGTCTGCAGCTCATGTCTGTGTGCAGGAGACATCTAGGCTGGTGCCCAGATCCATCGGCCCTTGTCTCCAGCCCCGCAAGCCACTGGCAAGCCAGGCCAACCTCTAGGGGGTGGAAGCACGCCACTGGCTGGAGTACTCAGCAGACATTTGCCCTGGAGATGAGGTGGGTGCATGAGGTGCCCTGTGGACCTCACAGAGTCCTCCGCTTCAGGCAGGCTGGGCTGCTCCTGCCAGAGGTGAGCCTGGAGTCAGGAGGATGTGCCCCGTGGGGTCCCTTCCCAGGAAACCTCAGCGGCATGAGAGTCTTCTTAGCTGTGAACACAAAGACAGGGCGTCCAGCGTGCTCCCCAAGAACCACCACCGGTAATCACCACCCAGGAGAAGAGCTGCCCTCAGAGAACCCCTAACTGAGCTGCAGTTGGCTCCTCTGTCAGATGGGAGGGGGCAGCAGCTGCCTGGCTGGTCTTCAGTTCACAGCTCAAGCGGGGGCAGCACGGAAGCTGCGGTGTCGCTGTCGGGGGTTATTCCTCCCCTGGACCTGCCCAAGCCTCTTCTACTGCCGAGCACTTTGCACTTTGCTGTAAACCAGCAGCCAACGGGTGCTGGGAATTTAAAAGGTAAATAAAATGTGTATTTCTTACACTTGCTGAGAAAAAAAATCAATATCACACAGATACTGATGCTACACAGGCAACGAGATGCTGAGGAACACCATGGGCCTGCGTGCCAGGCACGGGCGTTCCGAATACATTAGAGAAAGAACCTTCGCTTTCTTTATGGACATATTTTTATTGAAGACTTCCTTCTGTGCCAGAGCAACACCACCCTCACTTAGCAACACAGACCAAGTCCTCGTCCTTCACAAAATATGTACAAACCAGTGAAAGTAGCATTAAGAGAGCCCTTTCCAGCCAGGAGGAAGAGGGCGGGTGCCTGCAGCTAATGCCAGGGTGCGGGAACATAGCACCTTCCAGAGACTTCCCTGCCACAGGCCCCACCTAGGTGACCCCATCCAGGAGCTCCACTCAGGTGTCCCTGTATGTGTCCTCCCCAGGTATCCCCACCTGCCCCAGGTACCCCCCTGAGGTGTTCCACCCCAAGTATCCCCACTCAGGTGTCCCTGCCCAGGTATCCCACTCACCCCGGCAGGTATCCCCTAGAGGTGTCCCCACCCAAGTATCCCCTCCCAGCTCCCCCGCACCGTGGCTCTGCCTCCAGCGGCCCCACCCAGGTAGGTGTCCTCACCCCAGGGACCTCCCCGCAAGATGAGCTCCCCTGTTCTCCAGGGTGGAGCGGGCACCTGAGAGCTTCATCCCAGGAAGATGGGAGCAGGGGGCGTTCCCGCCTCAGTCCCACCAGGCTCCCCACCCACATCCATCCCCCGGGGAAGGGCCAGCCTGTGTCTTTGTGATGATGTCGCTTATCTTTGCCAAGAGGCCTGTCCTGCTCTGCAGTTCCAGCCCCAGAAAGGCAGCCCCCCTTCTCCTGTGTGGCCCCAGCCCCTCACGTGTGTTGAACGTGGGCCTCTTGTCCCGTGTAACTCCAGAGTATCTCCCAGCCCCTCACCTGTATCGAACGTGGGCCTCTTGTCCCGTATAACTCCAGAGTATCTCCAGGACAGTGGGTGTGTTTTCCACCCTGGCGCTGACGGTGAAGGGACTGCAGCCACGTGTCTGCCCATCACTTTCCTCTTGCCCTGGCCTGGGCCTGGCCTCTTGGAGGATGAGAGACACACAGCGCCGAGGTGAAACCAGCGGGCCTCGGGGTTTCGGGGAGACGGGCCCGCCAAGATCCGAAGAGCAGCCTTGCTTCTCCCACTGCCCCTACGGGCTGCCCAACCCTCCCCACTCCCGGGCTGCCCCCCACTGGCCCAGCGGTGTCCGTGTTCTGCCGTGGGCTACTGAGTTCCGAGCTTGCCTGTCACCCACGTCACCGCAACAGCAGGGAGGCGCCCCACCGGCACCACCTCTGGGGAACCCCCGAGCTGCTCCTCCCTGCTGAGGAGGCTGAATTCCAGCGAGGTGCAACCCGATGCCTTTCTCTGCAGAAGAGCCAGGGCTCAACCAGGGAGGGAGAGGTCTCTCGGGGAGTGGGGCCTCCCTGCACCCTGCGCAGGGTGACTCACCACCCGGCTTGCCAGGACTGAAGGGTCCCCAGGATGTGGGGAAGGCCCCAGGCACACCTGGATGTGGTGGTCACCTGAGCCCAGGACGCAGGAGCTTCGGCTCCTCTGCTCCACACGGGTCCCCTCGGGGTCTGGGCTCCTAAGGTGCCTGGGCCTCAGCCCCAGAGTAGGCTCCACACATCTCTGCTGTGCCCCGACCTGGCGCCCCACCCATAGCAGCAGGTTTCTCGCACGCCACCAGCTCCAATGCTGCACGCACGGGCATGCACCCTGGTGCCCTGCCTCCCTGGAAAAGCACCTTGGCCACTGGAAGGAGCCTGCACTGCAGGCAAGAGCCATGGGACCTTGGGGGCTGATCCAACTGGCTGCAAGGGTCCGGCCAGGAGATGCTGGCATGAAGCCCACTGCAGGGCACCTGAGGGTACCGTCTCTGCCCGGGCTCCCTTTGCTCTTGGCTTGCTGGGAAGGAGAAGTGGGAAGTCCCCTGCCCTGACCACAGAGCAACTGCACACTGCAGTGGACACGGCCAGGGCGCCTTCCAGCTGTCCTGGTGCAAAAGCCCCACAGGCAGCCTCTGACCCACAGTCTGAGCACAGGGCAGAACACAGGTCCCACAGGGCATATGGAACCATCACAAAACCTATTACCTGGTTCACATGCATAAACAGTCAAGATTCGTGGTGGCATGGTGATGGTGATGGTGATGGTGATGGAGATGGTGATGGTGATGGAGATGGAGATGGTGGTGGTGATGGTGATGGTGGTGATGGTGATGGTGATGGAGATGGTGATGGTGATGGAGGTGGTGGTGGTGGTAATGGAGATGGTAGTGATGGAGATGGAGATGGTGATGATGGTGATGGTGATGGAGATGGTGATGGTGATGGAGGTGGTGGTGGTGGTGATGGTGATGGTGATGATGGTGATGGAGGTGGTGGTGGTGATGATGGTGATGGTGATGGAGATGGTGATGGTGATGGGAGGTGGTGGTGGATGGTGATGGTGATGGGATGGTGGTGATGGGTGATGGAGATGGTAGGATGGAGATGGTGGTGATGGGTGATGGTGATGGGTGATGTGGTGGATGGAGGTGGATGGTGATGGTGATGGGAGTGGTGGTGGATGGTGATGGTGGATGGTGATGGTGGTGGATGGTGATGGATGGTGGTGGTGATGGTGGTGTGGTGATGGTGTGGGTGATGGGATGGTGGGATGGTGATGGGTGATGGTGGGGGGTGGGGTGGGATGGTGATGGTGATGGGTGGTGGGATGGTGTGGTGTGGGTGGTGGTGGTGGTGGTGGTGGTGGTGGTGGTGATGGTGCAGCCATGCTTTCTGCTTTCTGCGAGCTTCCTGAACCCCACCAGAGCAATGCATCAGGAGTCTGTTTCAGTTGAGCTATTTCGAGTAATTTGAACTCTGATATCACTAACGGGCAGGAACAGACTCCCAAATTTACCTGCATGCATTGAAGCCTGGAGTGTGTGGCTGGCCACAGATGCAGGCCCCATGCAGGTGATCTGTTGGCCAGAAAGGCCTGCCCAACTGCCTGAGCCCCAAGACAGGGCTGCCTGCTGGAACCCACGTGTCTAGGAAGCTGGCTCTAGCCAGCCCTAGTGGGATTCTTTAACTAGGACTTGAGGAGACAATCAAAGGACACCTAGGCCCACACTCGGAGACATGCTCAGACACTGCTCCTCAGTTAAGGTCGGCCCTGAGGGTGATGACCAGCTGAGATTCACACACACCAGCTGGGGTGCTGGGTCCGGCTTTGAGCTCATCTGGAATCAGGCAGAGGAGCAACTTCCGGCTCAGACCCGGGATCCAGGATTCCTCTCCTTGGCTGTTGCCAAGGTAGTGCCTGGAGTCTCCTCGGTCGTTCTGGTTCCGTTTCCACCCCGTGTTTCCCGGTGTCACAGCCCTCCTCACCACCACATTGCCTCCAGGCTCCTGCAAAAGAATTTGGTGGACTTTTCAGTGAGAACCTGAGCTGAGCTCCGGGAGGCTGCTCACCTGCTGTCCTCTCCTGGGTGCTGCCTCCTGTCCCTTGAGAGGGCTCCACTCGGGTCGGCTGCCTCTCCTTCTGGCACATGGCACATGGCACATGGCAAACCCAGCCCATGGCAGACGGGACTGTGGCCGAAGGTAGAGCTGGAGGATGCTCCCCTAACAACTGGGGGCATAAAATCCTGGACCCTCACACAGCAGAGACTCACCAGGAGAGCTGGCAGGTGGCCGGGCCCCTTTCCTTCCAAACGTCTCCCTTAATGTGTCTACCCCGTCCTCACACTTCTCTGCAGCACCCGCCTACCAAGCAGGAAAGCTGCACCCACCTGGAGCCTTCCACAGTGATTCAGAGGCTGCTTCAGCCCTCATGGCCAGCTCTCCTCACCTGCCTTTCCACACTGATGGCTGGGGAGGGTAGGAAACAAGGGCTGCCCAGGCTTGGGGTGCAGTGGGGTCTGTGTGTGAGCTTCTGGAAAGCAGCAGTCCTCAGGGGCCGCCTCCCCACTCATCAGTAACATTAGAGGGTCCCATCGCCTACTGATGGGGAGAGGCTGACCTGCAGGTGGAACCGTGAGAGAAGCACCCAAAGGTGGATACGGCCCGGGGGGGCAATTCTGTCCTCTTCTCTTCCTCTTGGAGAGTCCAACAAGGGCTTGTGGCAGCCACCACTGCAGCCACCCCAGGACCCTTTCACCTGGGACCTAGCTCAGCTCTTCCCCAGCCACCCTGCAGCAGAACCCTTACCAGGATGGAGCCCACGGTGCCCACTCTGCCTGGCACAGGCTCTGGCCCTCAGGGGCTCCTCTCCTCCCCTCCTCTATCTCCACACCAAGGCTGTGGCTGCAGGGAACCAGGCCAAGGCCCTTCCCTGTGTTTCCCTCTATGCCTTGCACCATCCAGTGGCCACGCTCAGGAGGGTTTGCCAGATCTGTAATGCAGGAACAGAGAGTGGCAGAGCCAGGGCCCGGCCGAGGGCAATGGAGTCCGGCTCCCTGCAAGGATTCCAAGAGCACCTGCACAGCCTCCCCACTCCAGGCTGGTTCACGTCAGCATGTTTGAACCCTTCTCAGCTATGCAGCATAAGTGTGGGGTAGGGCGGGGCCTCTGCTGCTGCCGTGGGGGTCGGGAGCAGGGGCTTCTTCCTCTGGCCTGAATGTTCTGCCACCCCGTGGTGCTCAGGAACCGTGCGGGGCCCTGCCGACAGACAGAGAGTCCCTGGGGGTGAGGTCTTTGGGAGGCCCCTCCCAGCTTCCACTGTCTGCGCTCCCTACAGCCTGGACAGGCTCAGAGCCTGGGAGACCACAGGCTGCCAAATGAGGTGCCAAGCAGGGCATCTGTTCTCCCGAGCCGTCTGCCCGCCTGGCCTTCTTGCTGTTTGCACACACAGAAAGAAGAGGATGTCTCCATTCTGCGCCTCCGGGGAGGTGCCAGTCACTCGGAGGGAGTTGGTGTAGGTCTCTTCAAGCACAGGCCACGGTAAATATTTGGTTGGCACCACAACTTCCGCCA